GCAAATGATACAATTAAAAAATTTATAAAAATCAAAATTGTTGCTAATTTTATGTAATAATATGGAAGCATTTTTTAACAGCAAATAAAAATTGAAAGTGTTAAAAAAATATCTTTTACACAGAAAAATTAGAAAACATTTATAATATTCATTATTGATAAATATAAATTACTTAAATAATACTATTTCCTTAACTATAAATTTGATCATGATACACTATTGAATATCTATATGTATATGTTAGTAATAGGTATAATGCTAAGCACAGGAATTTAATACTGAAACAATTATCCTTTAACGTTAATTAAAATATCTAATGGTTCTGTTACAGATGGTTGTGGATCATGAGAGTTGGGTTATGAATCTGAAAGAAGCAAATCTCTATGACTATCCTATCTGGTACAAATTGTACAGTGTACGACAAGCGTATCAAATGTCATCACTTTTACCTCTAGACTGGGATTCTTTAATAGATAAGATGAGCAACGAACCGTCTTTCTTCGATCTTTATTACAAGTGAGTCTTGTTAACCCATGTGCATCATGACTCTACTTAAGTTTCTGTGTTTAGACATCAGCGGCGTTCGACTGACGGTTGGGCCCGTATCACCGCACGCGGCCGTATATCGGCAGTTTTATTATTTTCGTTAACTTCTACAGTAAATGACTTCCGAATAGTTCTTCGAGTTTATTTAACATGGTATTTTTTAAAATGATCGATACATAATGCTACATCGCAAACATCGCATTTAAAAACTGTTTCTTTTCGAACTAACATAGATAAGCATACAACGCATCGCTTTGATGTTTTGTTCCCCCTTGCTAGTGTTGGGGGTATCCGTAAAGGAAAATGCCGGCCAGTATATCGCGTTAACGAATCATTGATAGATGATGCCTCTCTTACTCTTACATTTGCTAAATATTTTTCAATAATTTCTTCGGCCAATCTTTGCTTGTAAACATGAAAAGCTCGATCTTTTTTATTGTTTTTGAAAATTATGTAACTGTTTAGTAACATCATGTCTATAAAGTAAAAAAATATTTTTTTATAGGCTTTTTTACATCTCCGCATAGCGTGAAATTTGCTTAACATTTGATCGCCAACATCGACTCCACCCATATTCTTATAGTAATCTATTACCACTGATGGTTTTAAAATTTTTTGTCCGGTATATCGGTTTGTATTTCCCGTTTTGGCAAAATCTAAGTTATGCATAGTTGTCAATAAAACAACATCTTTTTTATCTTTCCACTTTATGGCCGCCATATCTGCTGTAGAAAATACAACAGCTTCTCCCTCTTCTAATTGGAGTAATTTTAGTTCCCGGGGCATTCCTTTCCTATTCATTCTCGCTGTTCCACACACGTTTGTTTGCATATTATATAATTCCCGATATAAAGTCGGTGAACTGTACCAATTATCAATAAATAAACAATATCCTTTGTACAGTAGTCGACTCTCTTTCAACAAATTTATAACAACATTTCTGCTAGCAGATCCAGTATTAGTTTTATCTTTTCCTACATATATTTTAAAATTGTGTATGTATCTCGTTTTAGAATCACAAAGTTTATAAAACTTAATACCAAATCTCGCTCGTTTAGTTCTGATAAATTGGCCTCCACATTGCATATGTGATTCATCAATCGATATATTTTTATTTGGTACATACATGCGAATGAAATTCTTTCTTATTATTTCAGAAACTTCTCGAATTTTTATTAATGGGTCGTTGGAGATATTACTGGAAAAATGTAAATTTGTAGCGATAGAGATAAATCGGTTACGGGGTATAACATGTTTAAAATATGGTGTTTCTATGCTCTTAACTTTGGTCCAATAACTCTGAATAGTGGGCTTAGGAACTAAACTCATTAAAATGTTTAAAGCAATAAATACTTTTAGTTCGTCGTCTGTAACTGGTACAAAATCTGTGTTAGTTGCTCCGTATTTATTTGTTTCTGAAATTATTTTTCTAACTAGTTCTTCGTTAAAAAATAATTCAAAGACTTCCCTTCTCGACAGATTTGGTGTATTTACAGTTACACCGCTCACGCCTGAAAAATCATGTACAATCGGCGTATGATTTTGGGGTTTCCATACGCAATCTCTATTTACAAAACTACCGCGTTGATCAACTTCGCTGCCATCGCTTGATGAAATACGACGGATACGTCTTCGAGTATGTCCTATTTCTACACTTGAATCCGAATCGTCAAAATAGTGAGAATCCATTGGGGCAACTAAATTTTATTTTAAATTATAAAATTAGATTATTTTTTAAATTTGGATATAGATTGACACTACTTACTCTTAACGGCAGTTAGAAAGATCTACACAACAATTAACAAAAGTAAAATTAGTTAAGAACGCAATGAAAATAGCTCAAATGCTCGCAGATTGACAGGAAAACGTGAACTGTGTCATATACGGAATATTCCGCGGGCGGTGATAAAAGAAAGTCGCGGCTCGCGGAATATTCCGCGCTCGATGATAGGAGACGATCGTCATGCGCGGAATATTCCGCTTACGGATGCAAATGGGGGTTAATATTAAAGAGGATAAGCACTCGACTTGCACGCCCTCTCTGCTTACAGTTGCTAACGAAAGTATTCGAACGCTTTCAACTCAAATTGTTAAGAAATAAAATACACAGTTTAGACTCGGTATTTCGAAATGCTATTGTACCTGAAGTAAAATGTCAATCTTGGGAATGCATGAGCTAAACAGAAAAACATATTCCTCCTCAATTGCTGATATTAATCCCATAGAACACTTATGAAACGAAATTGGGAGCAAATTTAAAAATTATGAAATAAAATTCAGAGATGTTAAAAAATAAAATAATGGAAATATAGAATTCCAATAAAAGAAATGTAACAGAAACGCCGATACACAGCATGGAACGACGGCTCAGACACGTAATTAACGCCAAAAGTGATCTAACCAAATAAAAATAATTCATGCGTTCGAATACTTTTGCGACTTGTATAAAAAGTATGTTTACACTCAATGTTCTATCAATTATCTATTATGCATTGTTCAATTTTTTCTGGTTTTGCTCGTACATTCCTAAAACTGTCATCTTACTTCTGTTACAATAGTATTTCAAAATATCGAGTCTAACCTGTGTATTTTATTTCTTAACAATTTGGGATGTAAGCGTTCGAGTACTTTTGTGAACAACTGCACGTTATTTTGTACTTATGTTGTTTCCATCCATGAGGCAATATTCATTTGTTTATAAGCATGTGCTTTCAACGGAAACTTTTCATTTTCTCAGTTTGTATCGAATGCAGGTAAATGTACTGGTGAAAGATGAAAAGTATGTTTCTATTTAATTTGAAACTAATAGTAGTTGTTTTTTTGAAAAATACACTCAATGTAATACTGAAACCACAATTACTTCTTCATGCTCTCAAGTAAAGAAAAGTTGTGAGTTAATAACACTTCTTGAAGGTGAATTAAGCACTTTTGAAATTATGTATCTTTTATGTATACTTTTGAAATTGGTAAGGGACTAAGCCTTGTTAAAACCATCATTAGTACCCTTACTAACAATAAGAAATGATATTCCATCTCAACGTACGTCTTTTCTGACTTAAGTCTGTTACTTTGAAATCAATTAGAACATAAGTTGGGGGACTCAAAATACTGTATGCAAGCTTTAAGCATATTAAGATAAAAAGGGAATTAAATAAATTTGATTTTAAAAATTAATATTTGAAAGTATTACAATTTGTAATTCATTTGTAAAGTATTAAATGTTTTATGTAGTGTTAATAATTTTAATTTGCTTACTTTGGCATGAGATTCGTACAATAATATTAAACGTTAGCTGGCTGATACATGAAATACTGCTTAAAGAACAATGTGAATTAAGAAGTAATATCAGAACTTTTCTAGTTTAATTGTTATACACAGTGTCTCTGAACTGGTGATACTTTCCGAAATAGGGTGAATTTACATGAAAAAGTAAGTTGAAAATATAGAGTAATAAGAGCATGCATACACAACGAATCTTCAACATCAATTTATTCAGAAATGAAGTTTTGTATGGAAAAATATTACTCTACATTTTCAACTTATTTTTACGTATAGATTCACTCCTTTTCAGGTTATCAGAATGGCAACAATGGGATATCATTTTCTGTATAAACAAGCTGCAATAAAAGCATTTTCATCAATGCTTTTAAAACAGAAGTCATATACTTTGTTTTGCTATATCTGTCACTTGACAAAAGCTGACAAAGAAAAATCACACAGCTATGGAATTATCAATTTCAATTAAACTTTATGTATAAGATAAATCTAAAATGAAAATGAGATGTTATCCAATGCACATTATTTACAAAGACCTCTCTATTCTAGGTAGAGAGTTCAACATTAAACACCAATTCTGACATTATACTTCTTCAAAGTACAATGACAAAATTATCTATATCTAAATAGTAAAAAAAATTGGACCTTGGTAACCCTCATCAACTCAACATATACTTCTACCATATCAATTCATACTCCCTACTTATATTAGAGAGTATAATTTATCCTAATCAACAAAATAATTTCAGTAAATAAGCTCTGCACACTTACTAGCATTTTATCAGATCATTTCCACATTGCATTCAACCTATCCCATATTCTTATCCCATCTTCTTCATTACTGTTCTGGTCATAGACATGTATTGACTAGGTTAATTATAAATATAGGACAGTAATGAAGAAACGAATTTCTTACACCAATCCAGTAATTACAATAGTCATGAACATTCAGCCTAATATACTGTCACATGCAATTATCATATTCTATGTTTCAGTACATGCAATTTTCCATAAACTTATCCTATTTCATATTTGTACCTACTCCCTGCACATAAAGGATTTTATAAATATGAAGAACTGCGTACTTCCTTTTTGACAAATTTGTTTACTCTTCAAAAATGACAACAGATAAATGATAGAGAACCATATTTCCTAATAGAATTACAAACTCCTATTAACGTACTTCCTGGATTGATAAAGGTTGGGTTGACGCTAGAGTGTTTGACGGTATTTATCCTGTTGGAAATTCCTTAAGAAGAAGAGTTACACTTCCTTTAGATTTCGTGTAGAGACAGACCGGGCACTGTGCGAACGTAGGATCGTCTGGCCTGTCAGTGAGAATTATGCTTCGAAAATAGACACGTGTTGAAAAAAGTAACCGATGCGATGATTGAAACACCTCACGAACGACAAACACACGTGTATCTATGATCCTACATTTTACAACTACCGTTGCTCCCCACTCCATTCATGACTGCGACGTCACTTGCTCTTCGCTTTGCTTGCAACTATACTCACGAGTAACGAAGGGCGCGAATAATTTTTAAACCCAATTGTATCGAAAGCAAAATTCCATATTAAAACATTTTATGCTATATTTTGAATTCGTATTTATATAATTTTAAGTAGCTTTTGTGCAAACACACAGTGCAGTTTTTACAAATAATTTAGAATTGTTTAAATTGGTTTACTTAAAATCGTTTTTCTCATAAAATTCTTTTTAATATCAGGAAAGTCGAAGAATAAATTAAAAGTTTGGATCACTGACATTTGTAAAACTGAACATTTCATAAAAAATAAGTTAAAGTTTAAATTTTTCGTCATGTATTATTTTTCAGGCACTATTACAAGAATTCCCCTGTAAGGCCACATTGCAACGACGACTGTCGAAAGAGATTACTCTGCGATTTACGAAGCGGAAGGAGTCATGATCATAAAGCGTTATGTCACAGTCTGGGGTCCAGGATAGATAACGAAACAAGAACGGGTTGGCGTGCTTGGATTTACAGCGGACTCGCTTTATCGTATGTACATGATTGGTGGCTTAAAAATTATTCTGGTAATATTAAAACGAACGAAGTCGGCCCATAATTCGATAAATACTTTTGTCATTCAATTATTGCTGAAATATGGCTGTTATTATATTTATAAGTATAGGAATCGTGATTTAAGAATACATTTACATAAACTTGTACCATATACCTTGTGTAGATTATTCGATGTAGGTAATCTTTCCAATATATTCATTATTCTATAGTAACTTCTCGATAATAACCTTCATTATTGTGATAAATACTATTTGCCAATGTTTTAGTGTGCAAAATACTTGATTTGTTTTAATAATTTCAATATTATTGCTAGTAATATACTTTATAATAAATTTAAGGAACGTTCTTATTTGTAATAAAGTAAAACATTGTAAATAACAGCTGTAAGCAAAGGAACAATCAAAGCAATAATTCATGAAAGTACAGGTTTATTGTTGAGAATGAGTAAATTCTTCTTGTTCTATTACATTCTTTTATTACACTATTCTGTTATCGTAGTATCCTTGGAAATCTATAACCTATTTTATTGTTTCAATAATTCTATCAAGTAACACTCAAGTAGAAGTTTCAAGAAAATTGGCTAAACTATAATGCTTTAACTGTCATCAACATGTTCCTGGTCATGTGTGTTATCAATGGCCCACAATAGTAAACGGGTGCAAAACATTCTTTAAACAAACAAAAAAGATTCTTTGATATAATGTTTAAGTTATACAGTGTGTCGTACCTAAACGAAACCACCTAAATACCTCCTTCAGTTGTGATGATATAAAAAATATTTTAGATCTCAAATTTATCTCAATTCAGAATTCAAATTGTATCTAAATTAGTTTTTGCATCATCATAAGTGAAGAAGATATTTAGGTAGCTTTGTTTAGGTGAAACAGCCTGTATAGAGGATGGTTTACAAATCAGTAGCTACAATACTTAAGCTAGTTCTAATAGTTTGACGAGAAAACATTTTAAACAAAAGTTTTCTGGTATCAAATAGAGAATGTATTATCACAAGAATTTTTTTGAAGATCATTATGTGCTTACATTATACAGTTTTGATCTGTAAATAAGTAACTCGCTTGGGACCAGCCAGTTGCTTATTACAGATCAGTATACTATTCGGCTTGACTTTGTTCTCGAACGGGACGTGAGAACATGGAGAGCCAGCGAGAGGCTTGCGATGTGAATAACACCCAGGATCCCTAGTATTAAAGTGATGAAGAATTATACATACCCTATTCTTCTTTTACTAAACGACGTCACTGTGCATTCGATCGTAAAGGTTTATGGCTTCTCGCTTTCACAAACCTCTCACTTGTTTTCGGATCTCTTACTTGGCGGGCGACTTCAAATAAAGAAAGGGGAATAGCAAGTTGCTTATTACGAGCCAGACAACAGTTGCTTATTACAAGCCAGAGACCAGTTGCTTATTACGGATCAAGGCTGTATACCCTTATCACAGTCGTCTTTCCGTCACTCCGTTTTAATGAATGTAACATCACTAGCCCGCGACTTTGCTCGGGCTCTGCCCGTGAGCATCGGCGGGGGCGCCCTTGCCCGCTTAAAGGTCTGCTGAACGGCACTGGCATAGAATCTAAGTTATCCCGAAGCTTTTGATTTTTAGGTACTTCTAGTAAAAGTTCCATTGGCTGGTGTTAGATTTAACAATACCTTCTTTTACCATTCTTTTGCAATTGTTTATTAATTTCTTCTGTATCCGTTTGCTGTAACTCATATTGTATGTAGTGGTTTGACAGACCGACGCAACAAATCTTTAGCTGGGCGCTTCTATATTTTTAGGCGTATTTATTACCGTAATGTGATGTTTCTTTTTTTTCCCCTTCAAGCAATACGCTCTCCTAGCCTTTTCTCTTACGGCACAGATATTCGAAACAGTGCGATAAAACATAATTTGCATGTTCCTTATGTGTGTGCCGCCGTGGGACAACGGACATAACTTAGGGTGGAGTGTTAAAAGATTGTAGTGGGTTTACCTCACAATATCCTAAAATTCAATATCAATAAAATTTGATTCAGTTTTTTGAGAGAAAAACATCACATAATTTTTCATGGGAAAAATCGTGTTCTTGAAATTGTTTCGGTGACAATACGTTCTCCATTTTTTACCAATAAACCAAACTATCAGAATTAGCTCACACATGGCCAATTCAGAGATTACCCTCTAGGTGTAAAAAGAAGTCAATGTCAGGGTTTCAACATAATTGCCTTTTTTCTTGCAACAAAATATTCTAATGTAACCTTCTTATTCCTGTATAAGTCTCTGTCTGAAAACTTACTTCTCCTTGGGCACGGAATAATATTTATAATATTTATTAATTGTGTTAATAATACCATCGGAACTTTTGTAAAAATTTCGCAATAATTATAAATAATTAGTTATTAATATCAAGTCATTCCACGAGTAATCTTGTTTTCAGGTGTGTAATTTTAGAAGGTTAAAAAATGGGAAATATTTAGTTTGTTAATCAATAACACATTAACCATTATTTACTGTATTCCACATTTCTAATAATTTTTCGATTCTCCCCTTGAAAAATTGTTACGTTATTTTATGCAAAATATTGGATAACCGCTTCCTTTAGATGCTCGAATGTGTTCAATTTTTTACCTTTTGCATCATTTTACAGCAATTGGAACAAATGAAAGTCTATAGGTACTAGGTTTGAAAATTAAAAAGGATGAAGTAATAGTGCTCAATTATATTCTTTCATTTCTTTCTGATGTTATTTTTGTTTATTAGGTTGTAACATATGAAATGTCCGATTTTGAATCTCAGCTTTAAATCAGCATATCTTTTTTTTATCTTAAATTTTAGTAATCAAAACAGGAATCATTACAATCTATACATTTTTGTCAATGATTGACAAGTTTTTTAATTCCATTTTTATAAAATATCGGCGTTCTGTTATCAATAAAATTTTTGAGGGTATTTTCTATATTTGCTTGATTCGTAAATGTTTTTGCGCTGAGGAAGTGACTTAGATGATTAAAAAAGTGATAATCCGTGATCGACAAATCCAGTCAGTATGGCGGATGAAGTAAAGTTTCGTATTTTAAGTAATTCAATTTTCGCATTGTCATTTGCAAAACATATGCCGAGTTCTCGATTAACCAATGTCGGTTGTTTAATTCGTAATTTCTGTTGCATTACTTCAAGTTCAGCACAATATTTCTCCGTGATACTTTCACCTGGTTTTAGAAAGTTTGAACAGAAGAGAGATGCGAAAATCGTACTAATTCATGATTCACAGAAATCTAAAAAACATGCATTCCAATACGAAATGTTAAAAAATTAAAATCACAAAAGAAAGAGGAGATTCTAAGCTTTAAAATGGCGTACAATACATCTACAAAGATTGGAAAACAAAAGGTTTAAAAATTGGAATAACTAAATCGGACATTTCATATGTTACAACCCGATATATCTCTTCAACTCTCATTTCAATATTTTCCTACAATCAGAAAATACAAGTATGTAAATAGCATAGGCACTATACAGGGTGTCCCGTAAAGAGTGTAACACCCGGAAATGGGGGGTTGCTGGGGTGACTCTGAACAACTTTTTCCTTTACCAAAATGTTGGTTGAAGCTTAGTTTTTGAATTATTAACGAAAAACACTGGCCAATCAGAGCGCGCGTAGAGCCCGCGCTCAACCACGGGAGCGCTGACTCTCATCCGCGCGCGATCGTGAACAAACGCATTGGCACAGCGTGGGTATCGAGGGAAGCGTGCGGCAAATGTTACATCGTCTTAAATTAAGAATAATCTGGAATTATTCGTTATTCATGAATAACAAATACGACAAAAAACGACATTACTTGTGGAAAGGTACGATAATAGAAGTATGCAAAAGCTCGAAATCACTGGTACCATATGTTTGAAATGAGTCGAGTCCTATCAGAATATTGAAAAAGTCTCACGACATAGGAATTTTGGGATTCCCGATATTTCGGATACATATTCAGTACACATTTTGAAGTGGATTTTATATCATATGAGCGAATACTGAAATTGTTTTATCTCGAAATATTTTCGAATTATATATATATCATTCAATGATAAAAGATAAAAGTAGAACAACGAATAGTACACTAAATATGCACCGGAGTGTTTTGTTGTATTCCGTATACCGATTGTTTATTAGGTAACAAAGTGTAAGTATCACGGAACGGAGACACGTTGACAAAAATTTTGAACGTCATGGCTCACTAGACATTATTTTAAATTGAAAAAAAAAATATATATATATAAAGCGTAATAAGCATAATACATATAATCTTACGCTTAAAATAATGAAAATTTTCTTGTGGCCGCCTGAGAGCAACCCGTAAATCTAGCGTGACAGTGAACGTGTTAATAAGTAAATGTTGTTCAAATTATATCGTGTTTGATATAATTTTCATCAGAAAAATCTCACCAACATGTTAAAAAAAATTCCAGATGAAAAAAAGTAAAATTAAAGAAATTATATTTTTCTATTATGATTTGTCGAGCCCTGAAATCTCGTAAAGGAAACCGAGTGGTGTAGCGTTACACGCTTGACTGACTGCGAGCGAGATAACATAGGCGCAGCAATGACGCAGACCTAGGCGTAGGACCATCTATGTGGCCAATTGTAGAATCCAAACTAGTGGCCAATTGGAGAGACATTACTGTGCCTCCAATGTCTTCCAGCACTCTCTTACTTCTGTTATTAATCTCCCCCGTGGTCTACCTTTCTTTTTTTCCCTAATCGCTGCTTGACACTCGGACAGAATACCCTTCTTTTGCAAGAGTAACAATAATTGAATGTTTTTGCGCAGATAACGCTTTTCTAGAACTACTTATTTCGATCACATGCACAGTCAGTCGAACTAGCAACGAAGAAGAAAAATCGACTGCTTCTTCGTAGCTCCATATTTATCCCTGCTTAGTCTAAAACTCCTCTTAAATTGTTTATTAACACTTCATGATGCTCCAG